GCCCGCTGGCATAACAAGGAGTAATGGGCACAAGTTGATGGAGAGGAGGTATAGATTGGATATCCGCAAAAACTACTTCACAGTTAGGGCGGCTAGGAGCTGGAACCAACTTCCAAGGGAAGTGGTGCTGGCCCCTACCCTGGGGGTCTTTAAGAAGAGGCTGGATGCCTACCTGGCTGGACTCATTTGAGTCCCATTTCTTGTTTTGGGGTTTTGTTGTTCTCCCGCCCTGGCGGGGGGTCGGGCTAGAAGATCTACTAGGTCCCTTCCGACCCTAAATCTATGAATCTATGCCTAACCTGATGGAAGGTGATGGGTACGTTAGCAGGACACGAAGATGACGCAGGTAACAGCCTTGAGTCGCATGCGTCAGGAAGGCCATGGAAGCAGGTAACAGCGGGCACTGAATACCAAGGAGCCCCAGGCAGGGGCAGCCTGGCACCGCTGAGGCACCCTCACAAAGACCATCCCGTGATAAGTCACAGAGCTACGGAAACCAGAGAGGTGCGGGGGCCAGGAACATCCTGTGTGCTTACAGGAGGCCAAAAATAGCCCCTCTCGCTCAAAACAGCCCTCAGGACAGCCAATCTCCAGGCCGGACAGTGCCTGGGAGGGCCTGAGCGCAGCCCGAGTCACATGTGTGAGCCAACCTCGCCGCCTGCTGTGTCACCACCTGTGCCACGAGCCCTCCCTGCCGCGGCGGAGGCTGTTTCTTGGAAATGGAGAAAACAAGGAAAACAAGTGATGGCACAATGCTGTTTTGGGGGGCTGGCCCCGTTCCCGGCTGGCTGCACTTTTACCAGCCGCCCCTAGGAGGAGAGCCGACACCGCTAGACTCTCCAGCTACAGCCGGCTGCCGCTGACAAGCCACCTCCACCGGGGAGTGCCCCAGTCGAGCTGTCCTGCTGTCCCCCTGCCTGTGCGCGTGGGATCCCAGTGCGGGGTGACCGCAGGGGCAGTAGCAGGTAGGAGACTCATCGCCGAGCTAATCAGGCAGCCTGCGTTTGGCTGAAAGCTCCCCCCAGGCAGGGTTCAGCCCAGGGCACAAGGAGATTTGACTCAGCTACTGCGTGTGACTTCTCATGTGGGAAATGAGCCTGGCCCTAAACCCCTGCACAGGCTGAAAAAGGGGGCTAAAAACAGGGCCCTACAGCTGCTGTGGGACACATGCACTCATGTCCCAGCGGCCTAGAAAGGCAGAACCCAGAGAAACGGGGCACGCTGTGTGCAAACGCCTTCCCTGGAGGTAAAGCGGCAACTGCCCCTTCTTAGCGTGGATCTATGGGGTCCTCCCTTTTCTCCGCGAAGCAGAGCTCGGTTCCTGGGGTTGAGGCATTGCACGGGGGCCAGGGATCCTGGCTCCCTCCTCTTTTGCCTCTGCAACCCTGGGAACATCGCTTTCCGTGCCTGTTTCTCCACCTGGCAATACAGCTCAGCGTGCTGGTGTCACTTGGAAACCCACGCCCTTGCTCACAGGAGTGAGCCGAGTTTGCCCGACATCCCAGGCGGCACCTGTAGCCAGCAATAACCCACCGGGCCCATTTCATCCTGTTCATTTGTAACCTCGAGCTTTCCCCTGTTCAGCGGCTGATAAAAGGTTGCACAAGGTTCATGTGCCAGGAACCCAGCCGCTGTCTTCCAGCACTCCCACAAAAGCCTTCCAAGGGGCAACTTTTTTCCAACTATTTAGTTGATCCAAAGAACCTGGCCTTCCAAGGGGCGAGGGGTGGCAGGCGGAGAAGCAAGCCTCTAGGGTGTGGGAGAGCCAGATCTCCTCCTCCCTGGTAGCCAGCAAGGGACCAGGGCAAGGCAGGTCCCAGCTCTCCAACGGGACCGGGTAAGCCAACTTAAAGCAAGAGGCAGCAACCTGGCCCCTGAAGCTGATGGGCGACAGCTCACTGCCTCGCCAGGGTGACTCAGGGCTGTGTTTACTGCTGGAAAGCAACATCCCGGTTCCCACAGCCCCATCGCCGCCTTTGTGGGCACGTCACCAGATCTGCCTGGCACACGGCTCTGCTCCCAACCCCAGGCCTGAAACCCGAGCAGTCACATGGGTGTAAGGCTGTTTTCTTCTAGCCCCAGGTACATGCAGCAAAACAGCCGGGGGCAAGCAAAGGGAAGGGGACCGTGCTGCACAGAGGAAGAGGAAGGAGAGGTGCTTTGGAGCCCAATGGGAGAGTAGGGGAAGGAGTGTGGGGCACCTGGGGCCTGGCCACGCCTGCCAGGGCAGACCTCAGCATGCTACAAGCCTGAAGTCCACATGCAAACCTGCAAACTACCCTTTTACCTTCTGAAAGCCTTGTTGGAGACCCAGCTCACACTGCATGCTAGGCCAGGCTCAAGGGGGCCAGGGTATTGGCCAGTACACCAGCAGGTGCCAAGGAGTCACCACACAGGCAAGGGAGGCCTGGCCCCGCCATTCGCCAAGCCCTGCCTCATCCCACCCTGGCAGGCAGAGGTGGTCTTAGATGCACACCCTGCTTTGGCCTGCGCCAGAAGTGCTCTGAGACTCTCAACGTATTGGGGGGGAGAAAGAAGCGTCTTCTCCTTCCAGCGAGCCACACGAGGACATTACTCAACACCCCTCCCGCCCGTGGGTTCTGGGAAGCACCCTGTGCTTGTGGCTTTGCACTGACCAGGGCCAGTGTTACCTTCAGGCTGAGCCTGGGGCTCACCTGGCCAGCAGGATCCCCTGGTACTCCTCCAGCTGCCTCATGAAGCTGGGGTTGGGCTTGGTGACCGTACGGCGCTCCTTCACATAGTCGTAGGCCCGGTCCAGGTTCCAGCCGTACTCCTTCATGGCATAGGCGATCACTGTGGAAGCCGACCTGCTCACCCCCATCTTGCAGTGCACCAGGCATTTAGAGCCATTCTTCCTGATGTGCCGGACGGGAGAGAAAAAGAGGGCTGTTAGAAAGCCACCTCCAAAGGATCTACAACGCACAGGTTGTACACGAGAGGGTCTTCCGAGAGCCCATGCATCTGTGACGCACACAGCCAGAAGCGGGCACTCAGTGTCCACAGCTTTGCATAGCTTTTCCTAGACAGACACGGCAAGTGTGTGCCTCCACCAGCTGCGTGTGCAAGCCTACAAGTGCGTGCACCCACTTGCAGATTTGCTTGTGAAATCCTGCCTGTGGAAAGCAGGCAGAGGCACGTGCATTTTGCACATGAATTACGGGCTTGCCCTCTCCGAAGACGTGCCCTGACACGTTCCAGCTGACCACTGATATGAGGTTAAACAGACAGCCGGGACCTAGGAATAGGCAGAACTGGCCCGCAAGTCCTCTTGCAAACAGGTGAACTCTGTGAACTGGCAAAGAGACCCAAGACGATAAGAGGAACAGCAAAACCCCAACTCTCCCCGCACCCGGCCCATGCTAGACAGACACACATCCAGGCCCCTGGGACCTAGCCTGGATGCTGATCTTCTGAGACAGAGGGATGTGACCTGCAGGGCAGTGTAAAACCACTTCTCTTACTGGGAGATGCCCTGGCAGGAGGCAAGCGAACAGTTGCTTGCCCAGATTAGCAAAGCCTGCCTGTGGCAAGCTAATCTCGCTGCTCTGACTCAAGCAACGCTCCTGTTGACTCTGGGTGTTGTTCCCAGTGACGACAGGTCCATACCCTGTCCAACAACAGCTCCTGCTCAGACACAGGCTTTGCAGGCACCTGGTATCTCCAAACACCTCCCCCAGGGAGGTATTTTTCTGCCCTGGCGCCTGTATTAGGCACCAGTCCATCCCACAGCTCCAAGCCCTGTTGAGTGCAGGTCCAAGCCCGTCACCTGGCGTTATCTGCCGGGACAAGCTGAACGAAACCGAAAACCCTGCCCGGGGGATTGCATTTCACAGCCCTGCCTCTCAGATCCTCCGGTAAAGACTTGCGCCTGGTTTGTGACCAGTCACGGGCTTATCACGCCACTGCCTGTCTGTGACAGGCATGAAAGGAGCAGCAGTTGGCTCCACTCGGGGAAAGGGAGCCAGACCATAGCTGGCACAGGGGACTGGAGCTGGCGCTGCACCAGGCTGCTGCCTGGAGATGGAGGCTTCCCTTTGGTGTGCTCTGCGCTGTTGTCTGCTCGGGGCAGGAGCAAGACAGGAGCATAGAAAATGAGGGTGGGAAGGGACCACAGGAGGTCACCTCTAGTCCAGTCCTCTGCTCCAAGCAGCACCAGTCCCAACTACATCATCCCAGCCAAGGTGTTGTTTAGCCGGGTCTTAAAAACCTCCAAGGATGGAGACTCCACCACCTCTCTGGGTGACCTGTTCCAGTGCTTCACCACCCTCCTCGTCAGAGTTTTCCCTAACATCCAACCTCAACTTCCCTTGCTGCAACTGGAGCCCCTTGCTCCTTGCTGTCATCTGCCCCCACTGAGAACAGTCCAGCATCCTTGTTTGAACCACCCTTCAGGGAGCTGAAGCCTGCTATTCAATCCCTGGCTCAGTCTTCTTTTCTCCAGACTAAATAAGCCCAGTTCCCTCAGGCTCTCCTCATACATCATGTGCCCCAGCCTGTTTTCATTGCCCTCCACTGGACTCTGATTTGTTCACACATTGCTCCAGCATTTCTGGGTTGCGAGCTCTGCTGCCACTTCCCCTGGTACCGAGGGGGTCACGCTTGGCAGCCAAGCCCGTGCTCCAAGGCATCCCAATGCTTCCTGCCATGGTCTGGGAGGAGGGAGGCTCGCCAGCCCTTATCTGCTCACCCTGGGTCGGGCACAGAGCTGCCTCGTTACAGAGCTGGTCAAGAGATCTTTGGTCTGGCACCATTCTTCAAGTGCCCGGATAAGGGTTTTTCTCACTGCCAGCCTTGGACACGGTGGGAAGCCTCGGCGCACAGGCCGCCATTGTCCTAGCTGAGCACAGACCTCAGATGCATGCAGCTGTCACCTGCATGCACGCTGCCTCCATGCACCCAGCACACCCCCTGCAGCTGCTTTGGCCACACCAGCCGCTCACTGGGCCATTTCCACACTGGAAAGCCAGACGCGTGCTTGCAGCACGCTAGCACTCTCCAGAGCAACTCTGGTGTACAGAGCCCCACACCCTGCTAGCAGCGGGGCTGTGGCCTTGGGTGGTTTTATAACGCCCGCACGGCAGCTCTGCACCTGGGACCGGGACAGGGAAGGCTCTGTGAAAGCAAAGCTTGGGCCAAGAGGGGCCTCCGCCCCCAACACAGCTACACAGGCTTTACTTGCCTTAAAAAATAACAGAAGTCTCCAGAAACCCAGTCGGGAGACAGAGCCATCATGAATTCGGTCATCAGTTCTAGGGCCACACAGATAGGTACAGCTGCCACACTAGGGTTTAAATACTGTGGGCTCCTTTTAAACCATCTCATTCCTGTGGGTGATATGTGCTAACTGGCCCTGTGGCTAGCTAGGTCTCAAGAAAGGTTGCTGGATTTATTGCATGTAACTAGGAGACACCTGCAAGCAATGAAAAGCCCTCTTTGCAGCAACTGCAGTTATCAGACCGTTCAGCTGGGCACCCACAGGAGAGGGTTTTACTAGCTCGCTGACCCCTTCCAGAGCAGGTGCAGTGGGCCAGGGCAGTGCTGCAGGCAACACAGGGCATCTGTGCTCGCATCGGCACAACCGCAGGTGGTCTGGCACAGGCAAACTAAAAGTCTTTCCATTCCGGCTTCTGCCACGTCTTGCCATGCAGAGGGTAAGCCCTGATGCAGGGACCATCTTCTGTACGGTGCCCACCACCACAAGGCACTGCTCAGTCACAGACAGGCTCAAAAATGGGAAGGCTGTATGATAGATACGCTCCCCATACCAATAAGGATGATTTTGGGGAGCAACTCCATCGACATTTAGAGAGAAACTTGTCTGCACCAACAGCCACATTGTATGCTCCTGTTTTCCCTTGGTATTTTACCCATGTCCAAACAGCAGTTCGGGTCATTCCTACAGTCTGAAGCCCCCTCAGCGTTCCTCCATCATTAGCTCAAAGCACAGCAGAGGGAATGACTGCGGAGCAGGGCTTGCAGCTCTCGCTTCCCAGCCTATTCCTTGCATCTTAGATAAAGTGGGAAAAGCCCCCCTGAACTTCAGACACAGCAGGAGCTAAGTGTACAAATGCCTTGCCCCTCATCTGGGAGAGGACACCCAGTGGCAGGAAAGCGGGAGAGACCGGAAGCAGGCACCACGGGCACGGGAGACTCACTTTGCTTTGGAGATGAACTTGTAAGTGTCGTTCCAATAGGCCAGCAGGTCCGTCGCCTCCTCGTCGTACACCCGGATGTTGTGGTACTCGAAGAGCCCCGGGAAGAAGTTGTCGATTTCTCGAGTGACGTTCAGAATGTACCGCACCCTGCGCGGAAGCAGAGGGCAGATCGGACCGGACCGGCAGCCTCCACCTAGGACGCGGAGCTCATAGGGAGACACCGCGGCCCCCAGGAAGCGGCTTTGCCGTGCTCCAAGGCAGAACTGCCTTCGTTTGCTGATGGGCTTTCAGTGCCAGTCAGGGGGCTTTCCCTTCAGCGCGTCTGCCTGTCTGTGGGATTCTGGGGTCCGGGCAAGAAGAGAAGGGGCAGTCTGTCTGTCTGCGAGCCCTCAGCTCACCCACGGGGGAAGTGACAGTGGGGGTGGCACCGAGCGAGGCGGGTGCCTGCTCCCGTGCCCAGCAGCTCACAGCCGCATGCCGCTTACCCTCTGTTCTGCAAGTCTTCCAGGTTGGAGGCGTTCCACTCAGAGCCCTACAGGGAAACGGAGGGAAGCGTCAGCAGGAGGAAGACCCAGCGCAGGTGCTCTGGCAGCTGAGCTGCTGCAAGGCCCCCCCTACAGACCTGCAAAGAGAAGCTGCCCGATCCCAGGCCCTGGAGACCTGTTTAGATGGCAGAGGCGAGTGACAAACAGCCGGGCTAGCGCTTATCTGGCTGCGAATTGGCACCAGTCCCAGCAACAGGAAGCTCCGCCGGGAGCACTCTGGCTAGGGAGCTTCCTGCAAGGCCACAAAAGTTGTGGCAGGACAGAGAGAAGCCTTCCATGAGGGGCTGTGGCTGGCTCTGCGCTGCATGGACTCCGTGAACAAGCCCTGCTGTGCCACGAGGTTGCTCCTTGCTCAGGGGAGCGCAGGAGTAGCTGGTCAGCTGAGCTAGCAACCCAGTGGTGACCTGGGCTGCACACCAGCCAGTTTGCATGCGCCCTCCCCAGACCCAGCGGCTCAGGCTGGGGGCAAGGCAGGGCTGAAGAACCTGAGCACCCAGCTCTCCTGCCCGAGACTCGAGGCAGCTCTTCAATCCCAAGGGAGGGAAGCTGCAGGCTGTAACAAGCAGCTGGGGGGCCGACACACAGCGAGGGCTCCTGCAGCTGCGTGGAGGTAAGGGGGGCAGCCCAGGCAGATCCGGGGAGCACCAAACCTCTGCATGCATGACAGCCAGCCGTGGCACAGGAAAGCCCTGCCGTAGAACTGCCTGCCCACACGTGTCTTAGAGAGCCGCAGCCCCTGGCACTGCTGCTTGGGATGGGGTTGGTGCAGCTCTGGGTCCGACCCAGGCTCTGCCCATGCCATGTAGTGGGGTCCTCCATCACATGCAGCCCACCCCCGGCTGCCCAGTATTCCCAGAGGGACACGTATAGCTATGCCAGGCAGCTACTAGGACCCAGCAGGCAGTGCAAAGGCCTCAGGAAGGCAGTTCCTCAGATCCTAGGGCAGCTGGTCCTCTCCCCCTTGGAGGTACCCCCAAACAGAGGCCAGGGCAGGGCTCTGAGCCCTGAGCAAGACAAAGGCTCATTTCTCCTTGAGCAGCAATGTGCGCTGGTGGCCCAGAGGGGCGGAAAAGCTCTTGGGTTTTGCAGCAATGTGGCCAGGCGTAGTGGATTTCACAGGGTCCCAAGGGTTCAGTATCCTACTCTGCCTTGCAAATAACATCCCACAAGGCTGGCCAGCACCATGCTGCTTCCTCCAGTGAAGGAGGCTCCTGCCATTCGCAGTTGCAGGAGCCCTCCTTACTGTGACACCCCTCCCTTCCCCGAACGCGACGCCCGTTACACGGAGCCAGTGCCAGTGTCTGGGCTCTGATTTCCTGTATTGTTATTTGGGAACCCTCCCAACCAGACACCCCAGAGACCTCATCGTATGGACCCTGCCCTCCAGCTGCTTTGTTTATGAATGAAACTGCCGGCTACACCCAGCCCTATCCTTCCCCGCAGGAGCCGGCTCGGCCTCCGGCGCAGCCAGGGGAGCTGCTGGGGCAGGGCACTCTCTCTGGTGCTGCCCAGGGGACCCTGGGAGCAGTCTTGCCAGGTTAAGTGCACTTGAGCCAAGGCTCCGTGCTTGGCAGCTGCCTAATGTTTCCTGTATTACTCCCGACTCATTGCGTGGGCTCGCATGAGCCCCTCTGGAAACCACCTGGCTGGAAAAGAGTCACTAGGCCGGGGACAGCTCATTGCTCCACATCTCCTGGCTCCCTCTCCACCAGGGTTTCTTGGAAGTGCTCACATCTGTCACAGCATCAGGGTGTTTTTAAGCCTCCCTCAGAGGCACTGGGTGTTGGCTGCAGCCAAGGCTGGGGATTTTGACTGCGCTGGGCCAACGCTCCTGCTGGGACCAAAGCCTGCTAGGTCCCAACATCTGCTCAGGGTCAGATCAGAGCCACATTTGGGGCCAGGAACAAATTTTACCCTGTGGTCAAACTGGTATGGACTGGGGAAGTTTCTACCTTCCTCTGTAGCTGGTGGCACACCCCCTACATGGGATCTATTAACAACCTTTTATAGACATTGGCTGCTGTGGTTCCTCTGCTTTCCCTATGGCAGGTTCGGATAGGATTTCTTGTGTGGTGTCAGGGTGACAGAAGTCTTATGGAGAGATTAGATGATGGACTGTATGGGATGGCTCGGGCAGGGCTGATCCTGCCTGAGGCAGGGGGTTGGACTACATGTGACCTCTGCAGGTCCCTTCCAACCCCACTTCTATGACTTCTATGATCTAAGACTCCCCTTCTCCTCTAAACCATGGCAAGGAGCTCACACCATTCAACAAGAGAGGCCTTCTCTGTGCGGATGGACCAGCTGGTCCAGGGAGGAGCAGCCCGGTTTGAAAAAGGAGCCAACCTCATGGGATTAACCAGCCACGCCAGGGTCCCTGGCCTGGCAGCTGGATGGAAACCCGGTGCAGTGCTGACTCATGAGAAGGAGGGGCAGCAGTTAGCCAGGGCCCAGCAATGAAAGGCGGCTAAACAAGCAAAACATTAAAGGGCGAATTGTTTACGTTGCTTTGGACAGACAATCTGCAGGGTTGGGTCAGGCCCTGTGGTTCCCACGCATAAAAGAGACTCTCCATCCCAGAAGCTGCAGGAAGTGTAATGCCACCTGAGCCTTGCAAAGCCCTCCCCTCTGCTCCCACCAGCTTCCCTCTCTTGCTGGTGTGTCCTCCCAGAAGCAACCCACGCACACTTGGGTGACCTCCTGCATGGGCCCCAGGGCAGCTGTGGCTGGGATGTGGGAGGTGACAGCAAGATCGAGAGGTTTTCCCACAACAGGAATGGCTCCTTTGGGGCCCAGGCAAGGCAAAGCACCATGGCAAGGCAAGATTTACTGCCAGGCGATGCTCAGCGCAGCCCAGAAGCCAGCCAGCACTTGGTCAGTAGTGCCACTGTCACTGTCAACTCAGCTCAGCGCACAGGACCCTGGGACAACCATGTTGCTCTGCCTGCTGGCCAGCCCACTCAGGGCAAGAAGCATCACTGGGATTCATGGGGCTGCTGCAAGTCAGGGACCACGTGATGGGTAACAGCACCCCAGCACCTTGCTGGTGCACTGGGGCCAGGACCTAACACCTCACCAGAAAGACGTGGTCGAAGATCTGCGTGGGGCTGTCCATCTGCCCGAGGATCACAATCATCTCATTGTCGATGAACTCCTTGAACTCCCGGAGGTTGCACACCATCTGCATCTCCAGTTCAGTGCGGATCTGGAAAGAGAAGAAGACCCATGTGAGTCCTTCCTCTTCGCTCATCCTGGTGAACAAAGCACCATGCCCCCTCACTGCACAAGGCTTCAGCTGTGTCCTACCAGCCCTCAGCGTGGCTAACTGGAAGCTCCAGGCTCACCTCTTTGGATGTGATGTTCTCCAAGTCCTTCTGCATCATGATCTCCCTTAGCTTGGTCTTAATCAGCCGCTCTGTGCGCTCACGCTCCGTGGGGCTAAGGGAAGGAGGTGACAGCGATTTGCAGTGAGTGGGGACAGGGCTAGGCCAGGTGACATAGCACTATAGAGATGCCCCATGCACAGCTGCATTTGAGACAGCCACCCGCACGCTGCTGAGCTGCCCCCCACCTGGGTGGCAGCCAGCACACTACCCCTTGATCCTAGCTCAGGCCCATATCTGGCTGGCAGCCTGGCCATGCTGGGGACAGAAGCCCCAAGGAATGTGCCAGGACTGCAGTGGCTCGCCATCAAAACCTCTCCAGCATTTGGCGCAATTTAAATGGCTTTGAGCAGAGGCCTGAGCTCCCCCTACCTTTCTTGGAAAGGTAACCGCTCCACGCTGCCTTTTATGGAGGCAGAGGGCAGGCGGGCCGCAAATGCTTCCCCAGCCCTGCTGCCTGAAGCCTTATCTACGCTTGCAAAAATAGCCTTGCTAATCAGCCTGGGGGCGGCAACGACAGTGCTCCAAGCTGGCTCACCCAGCATCCTCCGCCAGGGCCTGGTGGGACCAGTTCATGCCACCTATTCTGCCTGCCTGTCAGGCTGCCAACACAGCAAATACACAGAGGTTTCTGCTTTATGAGCTGCTGTAATTCCTGTCCAGCTGGTGGGCTGTGAATAAAAGCTACACAACAGCCGCCCCTTTTAATCCCCAGCTTTCTTTCCAGGCTCTGCGGATACAGCCCTACCCAGGACTTCACTGCACCCAGCAAAAAACTTTTCTAGTGGAGAAAGGGGTTTTTAAACATGAATAGCTGCAGGGGGGATATCAGGCTGACCAGCTGCCAAAGCTTTTCAACCCACTTCCTTGTACACTAACAAACAACTCAATGCAAAGGCTGCTTTGCAAACGAACTGCCCAGGGTTGTTTTTTGCTCGCTGGGCTTGGAGAACACTCATGCCCAGAGTGCACCAGTCTGCAGAAAGACACCATGAAGCCAGGCAAGCACTGCGAGAAGTATTGTCCTTTGCCCTCCCATCTACCTGGGATTAGCTGCCATCACGTCCAGAGGCAGGACCCCTCCAGGCAGCATCACTGAGACCACCGTCCGCTGCATCACAACGAGCAGCTCTGCCGTTAGCAACAGCTAGCTGGTTACTCTGGGCAGCCAGGCGGCTAAGACATCCTACCCGCTCTGAGCATCCCACAAGCACAGTCGTATAAGCCCTCCGTCACAGCAGTGCCCAAGCACCACGTCACTTGAGGAAGACACTGCAAAGCCGTGACTCTCTCCTCCATGGTTGGTATTAGGCATGTCAACCAGAACAACCGCTTGAGGCGGCTGCTTGGCTCAGAGGCAGCTGGAGCTGCCCACGTCTGGACGTCTCTGGGCACCACAGCAAAGCACTGGCTGCAAAACCAGCGAGCAACATGCCTGTGTCTGCCCAAGTGCAGGAAAGAGGCCTGGAAAACCCCAGTGTCTCTAGACACCCAGCCAAGCGCTCACAGCAAAGGACCAGGAGACAGGAAATCCTGACTCGTGGCTCCGCTCGGACAGGTTCCTCCTGGGGCTTTGCGAATCACTTTGGAGAAGGGCATCTGCCTCCCAGGAGAGCCCCAGGAAAACGTGTGCAGAGCGCCAAGAGCACGAAGCACAATGGCAACACTGAGGACACCCATTGAGCGTGGAGAGTTTCCAGCAGAGTCCCTGTTGGCCATCCTTCCCCTCAGGCCAGGACCCACTTGTTACCTCCTCCAGCTATGATCCCTGGGGCAGCTGCCTGGCTACGCAGAGACCACACACCGGCTGTACTTACACGTCCGTGAAGAGGGCGGGCGAGTCGGGGCGGTGGGACTGCACATCTTGCATGGCATTCCACTCATTGACAGACGACTGGTCGGAGTTGATGTGGCTCTCATAGTAGCTGACCCAGGTGAGGAAGAGGCTGCCGGGATAGTAGTTGTTGCTTCGGGCCACCTCACAGGCCTTGTGCAAACTCTGCAGAGCAGACCTGCAAGAGACACCCGGGCCTCAGCACCTCAGCCCCAAGACTGCCCCCCACTGCCAGTGGCACCTAGCCAATGTCCCACTTGCCGGGCTGCCTCCCTCAGTCAACACCCACGCTGTGGGTGGCACATTCTGCACTGCCAAGACCTGAAGCTAGAAACACTTTAACAGCCATTAAATTCTATCCTGAGCCACCCTAAAACCAAACTGGTGGCCTCCAAGCTAATCACAGTGCCCACTTCTCACAGGAGACAAGGTCCCCAGACATGGCACCGTGCCTGCTTGCAGACATGGCAGCCTTATTCTCCGATCACGTTTCACAACATGCCCATCCACAGCAGCCTGGCTCTGGGGGAAATGCTCACAGCTGCGTTCCTCAGAGGAGCCAACTGCTCTGCCCTGTTACATGTCAGCCACGCGGTAGGGGATAAGCACGTTGTTGAGTGACCTGGTGGGGTGTACGCAGAAGTGGGCCTGCCAAATCTGGAGGGGCTCGCTGCTGGACATGCAGCATGCAGGAGATGCAGCTTGTCCATGGCAGCCTCTGGACAAGCCCAGCACTACCCATGTGCACGTGTGGTGCACATGCACACAGACGTGTGTGTGTGACATGTCTTGCAGTTTGGGACAGCAAAGCTATCTAGGAGGAGCAGCTTTCCTCTCTAACAGACCGAGGTAGCTGGATCCTAATGGGCCAGCTTGGATCGCTCCCAAGCGCCCTGGCAGCAGAAGCAGGTCATGAGAAATACCCACCCTGCTTGGCACCTCTACCTGACACCTGGGCATTGTGAGCAGTGAAGCAGGAACTCAGATGGGGTGCATGCCCTGGGGTGCCCGCCAGGTTTTGCCCCTGGCCCAGCACCGGCCCCCAGCGCAGGCTCCATCATGTGACTGACTCTACAGACTGGAGACCGAGGCTTCTCTCCCCATCAAGCTGCAGGGATGGTTACACAGACCATGGGCTCTGAGAGCAGCCTCCCATTTCCAAAGGAGGGGCTTGGCTCTGTGGCTGGGTCTCATGAGGTATCAGTGATGCACATGGCACCTGCTCTGTACAAGCTTCAGCTGCCCCAGAGAAAGGAGCAGCAGGGCAGAGTCCTTACCACATGGCCTGCACGGACACTGGCTTGAATATGTGAACCCTGTTATCCGTCGAGACGCTGAACCCGCTGGGAAGAGAGAGAGAGAGAAACAGCACAGTGAGAAAGGCCTCACATGGCCTTCTTGTCAGCTACCATGGAACAAGCCAGGCTGGCAAAGAAACAATCCACAGTAATCCCCCTGTTTTAAGCATGTGCATCGGTTAGCCACAGATGCAGCAGATCATCCTGGCTGCGCGCACCCCCCAATGCATCTGAAGGGGCTGGGATGGACAGCAGAGGTAGGCTTTCCTGCAGGCTGTCCATAACTGGCATGGGCAGGAGTTTCCAAGCCAAGAGGTGGTTTGACAAAGGAATCGCCATGCTTATTTTTACATCCGGAGAATGTCAGCCCTTGACAGAGTCACAAAGCAACGTACAAAAGGCCCCTTCAAAGAAGCTTTCGCTACACACCTGCCCCTGCTGAAAATTCCCTTGCATCAGCAATCTCTCAGACACATACACGTGTGCACCACACATGAACAGACACACGTGCACACGCTGCTGCTCAACGCATGCAGCATCCCACCCTATGCTC